GGGTTGTGCATGTTGCGGGGCTGCATACATTCATTTGTGTGTTGTGACCGTGTGTGTGGGGGGTGTGTGTCCACTTGCACCTCTAAGACCTCTCTGTCCCTGCCCCAGAGCCTTGTGCCCCCCAGAGCGCGGACAGTCAGGCACAGCCCTCCCTGGCAGTGCAGGGCAGCAGCGTGGGCAGGGGCAGCCAAGAAGGCTGTGACGTCTAGGTCTCAGTTTCCAGTGCCAGCCTGCCACTGGCTCGCTCTGCGGCCTCGGTGGGTGTAGTGCCTTCCTCCCCACACCCAGAGGGAGTGGGGGCTGGAAGCACAGTGCCCCCTGTGTGTCCAAGGAAGGGGATTCGTGGGCAAGAGTCTTCTGTCTGTGCTAGATTTGGACGGTGTGGTGGCTGAGTCCTCTCTTGAGGGGCAGCCTGCTTCTGGACTGCAGGCACCCTGGGTTGGCTCTGGTCTAGAGAACCTGGACTAGAGACATCCGTAGCCAGGCTTTCTCACTCTCTCTTCCTGGCAGGCACTTCTCTGGTCCAGCACCTGATGACCGTCCTGATCCGTAAACACTGCCAACTCTTCACTGCGAGGGCCGAGGAAGGGCTAGCCTCCCCGCGTGGGGGCCCACCGTGCACAGTGGGATGGGGCTCCGAGGAGGTCCCGAGGGATGGCCAGCCAGAACCCAGCAGCCCCAGCAGCCCTGGCCTGCCATCACACAGGACCTCGTCTCTGGATGGGGCCACTGTGGCAGCGCTGTCTAGAACCTCCCCCACGGGCCTGGGTAGCCGAGGCAGCCCTGCCACCACCAGCCCTGGGAAGAAAGTGCAGACTCTGCCCAGCTGGAAGTCTTCTTTCTGGCAGTCAGGGTCCCGTTCGGGGAGCCCGAAGGTGGGCAGCTCATCCCTGGAGGTGCCCATCATCTCCTCCGGAGGGAACTGGCTCATGAACGGGCTGTCCTCCCTGCGCGGCCACCGCCGGGCCTCCTCGGGAGAAAGGCTCAAGGACTCAGGCTCTTCGCAGAGACTCTCCACTTACGACAATGTGCCCCCGCCCAGCGGCCTCTTTGCCAGCACCCCCAGTGTGGCCAGCACAGCGTGGTCAGGGGCCTCCTCTTGCGAGGCGTCGGCCAGGGGCTCGGTCAGCAGCTGCACGGCCTGCCGGGCCAGCGACTCGTCCGCCTGCAGCTCCCTGCATACCGAGGGGGCCCTCGAGCCTTCCCCCTTCCCCAGTAGCAGTGAGGGCCGTAGATCCCCGGACCTGGGCCCTGGCCTGGACGAGGTGGGCACCTGCATCAGCAGCAGCGAGCCCAGCGACCCAGGCAGCCCCCCGCAGGACTATGCTCGCTGCTCTGAGGCTCTCCAGGGCCTGGTCACGGAGCTCAGGGCGGAGCTGTGCCGGCAGAGGACTGAGTACGAGACCAGTATAAAAAGGTAAAGGGCTGCAGCCATGGGGTGAGTGCGAGGCTGGCACCCCCAGGGCCGGGCAGAGCCCTTGTGGCCAGTGGCTCACGGGGCACCAGCTCTGGGTAGTCGGCCTCTGGCTCTGAAAGCAAGCCTCTCTGAGGCAAGGCTCAGAGCAGCCAGCTCCAGGAAGCCACTTTTCTGGGAGAATGCCCCCAGAACAGGGCTGGGAATGGAGGGCTGGGGTCCTATGTCTGGAAAAGCTCAGGAGCTACAGGGCCTCGTGTGCAGTCCGAGCTCCATAAATGCCTGCTGAATGAGTGAGTCGAGAGTCTCAGCCTGAGCTGCTCAGAGCACCTTTAAGGGAAGGGCTCAGCATAGGGGTCCCTGTGTGGCCCTCAGGGAGGAGACAGGCCCCCTGAGATGTGCATGGACCCGAGGAAGTGTCCATGTGCAATGCAGGCCCCAGGCCAACCCGGCTGGCTGACCATGGTTGGGCCTGATATGGAACGAGGACTGCTTCCAGGATTGTAATCCAGTTTCCTATGAGGCGGGAGCTGGCTGTGCTGAGCCCTGCCCTCCTTAGGAACCTTACCTGGTCACAGGAGGATGCCTTGTGCCATATTCTGAGCCTTGCAAGTTTGCTCACAGATGATCCTGGTTTGATCCTTCCAGCCTCCCTGGGAGGAGAGTGTATTCCAGCTCTGAGGCACCAGGTTCTCCAACCAAGGTCACCAGCAGAGCCTGCACTGGCCAGTGCGCCGTGCTTCTGCCAGCATCTCAGGCTTCTTAGCCCTTGGCCCCAGCTGTCTGACTTATAAATCAGGCCCTACCCACTAGCAGAAGTTGTTTGTGGGCTCTGACATCCTCCTTTCCCCATCAGAGACAGTGGAGGTGAAGGGGTTCCTGCTTCTCACTCTGGGCCTGGGATTTCTACAGGGAGCTAGAGGGGCAGCGTTTGGCCCTTTTGTTCTGCAGGAGGTCAGGGAGGGTCACAGCAGGTGATGTTTGAGCCAGGAGTTGAAGGACCAATAGAATTGGGCTGAGCAAGGAGGAGAAAGGACACAACATGAGTAAAACTGTGAGGTATACAACTGGGGGGAAACCCCCACAAAGGTGAGCACTGGGTTGGAATTTATCAGGCAGCAGGAGGGTGGAACACCATGCAGATACGGAGAAAGATGGTTACAGCTGAAGATGAGCTCACAGACAAAAACTACAGGATACGTGGCAAGTATTACCAGGCGGAGGCTGTCTTCATACAGCCTCAGAAGAGGTCAGAACCAGCTTCTCACTTCTTTAGCTCTTTGTGGAGCCAACTTCAGCTTCTCGCTCTTTCACCTCAGAAGCTTGGTTTCTCGGGAAATTGCAATGTTGTTCCGTGGAGGGCTCTAGATGAGACTGCCTAGGGTCGATTCTCTGGCCTCGGGTGACCTCACCTATTTGTCGTGAGGATTAAGTGCCACAGTGGATGGGAGTGCTCGGCACAGGGCCTGGTGCATCCAGAGTGCTCAGGGAGTTTTCACTGCTCACACTTCCTTCTGCTTGGTGGCTTGGAGGTGAGCTAAAGCTCGCAGAAGCAAAGGGATGGCGGCAGCAGCCCTTGTAGGACCCTCGCTAGCAGAGTGGTCTGTGCTGTCATCCTGGTTGGAAGGGTGGTCTAGGGAGAGAGGGGTCTGCCCGAGCACGTGAAAGAATGGAGCCCCATCCAGCGGGTCTTTGGGGAATACATCTGCACACAGGAGTCAGTCAGCACTGGGTCTGGTCTGGGGGGTTAGGGGAGGCCAGCTTTCTGCCCTGCCTCGCAGGACTCAGAACCCCTCCCCTGTGCCAATTCCTGTATTCCCAAAAGAGAATTCACTGAGTGTCTATGATGTGCAGACACTGTATGAGATGCTGGGGACACAGCCAAGACCAAAACTGATCAAAACCTCTGCCCTCATTCTTATTTGGTGGTGGTTGAGGGTTGGAGGCGGAGAGAGACCATAAACAAGATAGATTTTTAAAAATCTATGGTATGTTAGAAGGTTAGATAAAGGAGGAGTACAAAGCAGGGTGAAGGGAAGGGAGCGTGGCGGGGAGAGGGTTGGAAGGCCATGCTGGGGCAAGAGGGAAGGCCAGGTGCGGAAGCCCAGGGGCTGTGGTGGGAGAGGCAGGTGGAAGAAAGAGTGGGGATCGGGGGAATGTGAGAAAGGGGGGTGGAGGGCAGCGTGCGGGGCTCTGGCTAGATACGTGGGTAGCATGGACCTAAGGGGCAGCAGTCAGGATAGAAGAGCCAGATTCTGAACATATTTGGAGGGTTTCGCTAATTGGTCAGATGTGGGGATGAAAGAAAACTGACTTAAGGGACAACCTTTTTGTTTTGGTGGAGTAGCTGAAAGAAGGTGGTTACCGAGTGGGACACCAGGACTGCAGAAGTGGTTTGGAGAGAAGAGTCAGGAGCCGCCTGTGGGCCTGTTAAGGTGCAATGCTTAGGCAGTTTGAGTGGGGTCCAGTGAAGCTGAGGGGTGGTCAGCACGGAGATGATACTTTGGGTCTGGAGATGGGATGAGGTCACACAAAGAACCACACAGAGAGGAATACAGGAGGCTCCGGCCCGAGCTTGAGAGCACCAGGGCGGAGAGGAAGAGCGAGCGAAGAGGGGGCTGGATCCAGAGGAGAAGCAATGAGGGGTGTGTGGTCTGCCACTGACCTTGGGGGTTCCTCGGTCTCACAGCACGGCCCGTGCTCTGCAGATGGCGGGCTGGGGCGCGGGCCGCTTTCCTGCCCTCTTCATGCTTTGTGTTAGGGGACTGAGGGTGGAGGCCTGGGCCTCATCCCGGGCGGGGCGGGGGTGGATACTTACTCCAAAACACCCCGCTGCAGGTGCCGCGCTGTGCGGTCTTTGTCCACTGTAGCTGTAGCTCTTGGGGGAAGGGCTGGCCCTGCATTTTTTCAGAAGGGACCCCAGGACTCAGAGCCGTTTGTGTTGCTTCAGAAACAGCCGGCTGGGGCTCACACTCCAGTGTGTGGGTCCCCAGGGCCTGGGCTCAGCATGCCCCAAAGGCCTTACAGGAGGTAGTCATCTGGTCGAAAAGATGGGTGTGCCAGCCTTTGTAGAGTGTGGGGTCAACATCCAGAGGAGCATGTCTGTGGGGAGGATCCAAAGAAGTGTCACTGAGGGTGGGACATTTGAGCTGGGGCGTGAAGGGCAAGGAGTAGTGGAGGTGACAACCTGACCGGGGTTTCCCCTGAGTCGCGGTGTCTGGCTGGGTTCTGGGGGGCCGTGGTGGGGGGCAGCTAGACTGAGGCTGGAATATAAGGGGCCTCGCAGATGAGCAAAGGCGAGGGGACAGTTTCCTACTTCCCTCTCCATTTGGGGACCAGGTCTGCTTTCTGCCAGCCAGCAGCCCATTCCTCAGTGGACAGTTGGCTGGGCTGGAGGGTAAGTGGACTTTATATTTTAGTGAGGACTCAGGGAGGCCCCCGCCCCGGCCTTGAGCGCCGAAGGGCCAAATGCTCATGCTGGCATTTCTGGATCACGGGCTGAGGGGAGGTCCCCTGGGGGTGAGTGCCCAGGTCTTCTGAGGAGCTGACGAGGCCTGTGAGGCCTGTCCCAGAGCCAGGTCTGAGCCTGCATGTGTCCTTCCCTTCCGCGGGCCGCCTGACCAGCTCCTTTGGAAGGAGTACACGCAGGCACATGTTTGCTGAAACCCAGCCAGCCAGAGGCTAAAACAGTGTCTTTCTTCTTGATTTTAAAGACTCGAAGAAGGTAGTGCCAACCTGAGGAAACGAATGTCACGGCTAGAAGAACAACTGGACCAGGAAAAGAAAAAGTACACAATGCTGGAAATAAAGCTGAGGAACTCAGAGCGGGCGCGGGAAGACGCGGAGAAGAGGAACCAGCTGCTGCAGAAGGAAATGGAGGAGTTTTTTTCAACCCTGGGAAGCCTGACTGTAGGGGCAAGAAGTGACAAAGCCCCAAAGTGAAGGAGTAGAAAGAGCTCCCGTCCATAGGGTGCTCGCCCGCCTCTGAGCAGAGATGGCTGCCAGCCTCACAAGGAGCCACAAGGCTCTGCAGCTTGGACATGGGCTTCAGTGGTGCCAGGAGCTCTGGAGCCAGCTGGAGGGAGGAGTCCTGATGCCCCCAGGGGGGACTGTTGGGAGCCCAAACCCCACATGGGATCTGGATGCTGTTCCAACCATGCAGGGCCTGGCAGGTGTCTCGTGACCACCAAAACAGATGGCACCTGGGATCTGAGTAGCCCACTGGGCTACTTTTTTGCATTCGTTATTAAATTTGCTACCATAGCGTGATGTCTGGATGCCTGACTCCTTTATGGTCATGTAGAATGGGGGTTACCAAGTTGCTCACAGGGTTGGAAGTCCCCAAGGTGTGCCATGGGTGGAATGGCCTAGGCTTCAGAAGTGGGTTGTGAAGCTCCTCGAGGAACACCCAGTGTTGTCACAGTCACTGAAGCTGGATTTATGCAAATCTATGTTTTGCTCCATGTTCCCTGTGCCCAAGGCAAGACGATTTTCCTCAGTCAGGCCTGCCTTCCCCCTCTGAGCCACCTGGGCCTCTGCAGCTGGTATCTGGCCTGGAATTCCTCTCAAGCCTTCCACCATAACCTGCTTGCCTTTGCTTGGCCCCACATCTGCTCCAGGGCCAGAGCCCCTGAGTCAGAGCTCAGCATGGGCACTCTATACCTCACTTCTGCACCCGGGTGTGCGTGGGGGCACAGTGGGTGTTTGAAGGAAAAGAGAGCCACAGGGACGGGAAGTGCCCATTCTCTGTCCTCCAGGCGCCCCTCAGGCTGGGTGCCGTTTCCCTGCAGAGTCCCCTTCGAGCTAGTGCTAGTCCCTCTCCCTTCCATGCCCATTTTACCTTCTTTAGCTCATCCTCAGACTTCAAGCCTCCATCAGGGCAGAGCTTTCAACCAAGTGTTTACCTGGCCACCACCACACATGTGCAGGCCTGGGCCAGAGCTCCTAGGGATGGGACTTAGGGAGCAACAAAGGAGTGGCCTCTGAGCGGAGAGGACCGGCATTGCTTCACTTACTCCTGCTGACAGTGTCCTTACATATCACCTCTTGCTAACCTGAGCACCAAAGTGCCCCAATTTCTGATCACTATCTCTGGAAAAGTCCCTCAGGCCCAACCACCCATCCACCTAGAGTCGGGTATAAACTACAACACTGATGCTTTAAATGCCAGGGTCTTGGTTCTCCTGAGAAGAGCTGGCTTCATACCATGATGTACAAGCCCACAGGACCAAGACGGCTGGTAACTCCCATAGTGGTGAGGCAGGCTGACCACAGGCCTTCTGCTGAGCCACCCATGGTCTTACCAACCAGGAAGCCAGATGCCTGCCAAGGGCACCCAGCAGCACCAGCAGGCAAGAGTTCTCTTGAGGAACTTTGAGGAGGGGGGTCAGTGGAGAGCAACACCCAGATCTACTCTCAGGCAATCTGCAGCAGATGATCTGGGTGACCAGTTTCCCCAGAAGGTAAAATATTGCTCTCCCCTCTATTCAAGGAGAAAGAGAAAAGAAATTGAAGTGACTGATTTCCTCAACAAGATAGGAACTGGTCCCCATGCTCAGAGGAGAAACAGGCTGGGAGAAAATAGGTGGGAACACCAGTGTATTTTTATGGTCCTGGGTTCCCTACCATAGTCCTGGAATTCTACCAACTTTGATTTGGAGGGAAGATACCACCAGGCTATCAAAGGAGCAGGAAAGACAAAAGGGGGTTCACACGATGAAAAGGAAGTTTGTCTGCTCTTAGCCATTCATAGCGCTCAGCTTCCAGCCAAGGCCTGGCCAAAAGCAGCTCGTGGACCACATCTGCCACCTGCTGGCAAAACTGGGATCTGCAAAGGCAATTTTTCTCTGAAAATCAGTTGGCAATATTCAGTAGAAGTTCTATCCTCCGGTCTCCATTGAACCAGCATTTTCCATTCTGTCTGTAGAACAGACGGACCTCTACCTGTGAAGCACGTTCGGCACCAGGGCCAGGGGACTTTGGCCTCGTACCCTGTCCCTACCCACTTAGGTTCCCCCAACTGAGTTACATTTCAACCACCTATTCCCGAACTGTGGATTCAAGTTGTACCTATTAGTGTAATGACATTTCAAATTAAGTAAACCAATGAATTATGTGTGAAAATATAGGAAATTAATGTTTTGAAGACCTTTGCGTTTTTGGAATGCTTTAGAAAGAGCAAAGGCAAGTTGTTTAAAAAAATTGCTAAATTGTGGATAAATCAAACATGCAATAGCATAAAATTGGCAAAAATCTAGCATTCTGTTCTTAGATTACTTCAAAAGTATTTTAAAGTTTGTGTCTGGCTTTAAAGCAAAAACTGGAAGTTTTAAGTCTCATACTAAACAAAAAAGGAATTGGCTTAATAACAAATGTCCATTTTTTTAAGAGTAGTTTTTTAGGGTATGTGTGTGTGAGAGAGAGAGAATTCCTTGTTTTACCTGGCTGTTGAATAATGGGACCAGGCATGACTGCTGTATACTTCACACTGTAAAAGGGCTTTGGAATGGAGTCCATGTATAAATGTTCCCAGGCCTGTGGGCAGTAAATGGAGTCAGTAACAAGAACAACATGTTTCATGGACTCCCCCTCCTTTTAATGCAGGGCCCCAGCCCCCTGGAGAGTTCTCCTAATATCCTATGTGGTCCTATCACAAAGGGACAGTTTCTCATTTATATGAGCCCACAGCTAAGTAGATATGATAGTGCTGCTGTCTCTTACATCCTTGTCTCCACCAAGAGCCCCCACCTTTGCCAGAAACCGCTGCCCTTCCTACCAAGCCCATTGCTGCTACTTCCATGCTCCACCAAGCCCTGTGACAGGTGGACCTATGAGGTGCCAAAACTGTGTGGTGGTTGGTGAGAAAGGAGAGCTACAGCCTCAGAAAGCGTTTCAGCACAGAGCAAAGAACTTGGGCCGGGTCTGTGCAGCTGGAAGACCTTGGAGAAGTTAAGCTTTGGGGGTCTCTGCTCCCTCCTATCTAAAATGAGGATAATCTCAGAGAGTGGTTGCTGCCCCAGCAGGTCTACGTGTCTCACACGTAATTAGGTGACGTTATTTTCTGCACTTTAGAGCTGAGTACACAGAGAAGTTAAGGACCTGGACCACAACCATACACAAGTCAGTGAAGGAGTCAGGCTTCCATCCCAGGGAGTCTTAATTAAGAGCCTGTATTCTTACTTACTCGTCCAAACTGAAAAGATGCTGGCTTGATAGTTTTAAAACGTTACCCCTATCATATTTTAATGAGGTCTGTGCACAGGATGCAAAGTAAGTGCTATAAGAGACCTCTAAATCAGACAAGGGCAGAGGTCAGAGAAAGGTCCCTGACAGATGTGACACCTCAACTGTTTTGTATGCTGATGCGCATAACCAGAGCAAAAGTGGTGTGTGTAAGGGAGAGAGAGACAGGGAAAGGAGAGGGGCGGGGGGGGAGGGAGGGCTAGAGAAGGTGGCAAGGATCTGGTCACGGAGGGTGGGATATGTTCTTAACCCTTATGCTTTAGGAGAGCATTTTCCCGGGGCATATTATATCCACTATAGAAATCCACAAGGCCTTTCAATTTTTTTTTTAAAGATTTTTTATTTATTTGACAGAGAGAGACAGTGAGAGAGGGAACACAAGCAGAGGGAGAGGGAGAGGGAGAAGCAGGCTTCCCGCCGAGCAGGGAGCCCGATGCGGGGCTCGATCCCAGGACCCTGGGACCATGACCTGAGCCGAAGGCAGACGCTTAATGACTGAGCCACCCAGGCGCCCCCAAGGCCTTTCAATTTTGTGGGGCTAGAAGGAACAAGACCTAGGTTATGGCTTTCATAGAGCTTACATTCCAGTGGGGTAAGACGGAACATAAAGAAGTATTAAAAAGAAGACAACAGGTCCCAAATGGAGTCACTTATACTCAGCCACATACCACGAAACCAAGACTTAGAGTTTGGGCTCTCCCAGACTAGTTAGGTCATCTGCCGGATAGATCCCAACCATCCCCTGCAAGAAAGCAACCTTACAATAACCAACCTGCTTTTTTGTCTAGTATAATTTCCTGCTCCCTTCTGCCTGTAGAGTTTTTCATTTTTTACAACTCCTCAGAGTTCATTTCTATCTGTTAGGTTGTATACTGCCCAATATTTATGAATCATTGAATAAAGCCAGTAAGATCTAAATTTACTTAGTTGAATTGTTTTTTAACAGAAGTACACATAAACAAGATACATTCAGATTTTAATAAGTGCTCTGAAAAAGGTGATCCCAGGACCTATTTTAGACAATTTGGTCCGGAAGTCCTCTCTGAGGTGAATTTGAATGGAGACTAAAGGACAGACAGGGCAGCCATGCAACCAGACAGCTGCAGGCAGAAGAAAAAGAGCTGTAGAAGTCTGCATGGGTGCTGGCACCAGGCACTGTGGACAGGCAGGGCAGGAGCCAGGCAAGGCCAGACACTGTAGGCAGGGCCTTGTCACCCAAGGTGGAGTTATTTTAAGCGATATAGAAAAGGCATTTGAAGGCTTTAAATCAATGGACGTGAATTGGCTTGTATTCCAACAAGGCTCTTTTGGCCACTGGCAGAGAGTGGATAAATTTGGTGGGGGTGATGGGGAGTGGCTGCAGGGAAGCTAGTCCAGGAAGTGTGGTCCAGGCCAAGTGTAGGAGAGCGAGAGGTCAGCAACCGGACAGGACGACTGGGTGAGGGGCAGACAGGACGACTGGGTGAGGGGAGCGGGGAAGACGCCGTGCCCAGATCAATCTTAGAGGTCCTGATGTCGATAGGAGCAGAAAAATAGGTAGCAGAGTGAAAGGCGGTGATAGCCTTTTAAAGATGGGAATTACTAGAGCATGTTTGCTGCTAAGAATGACTCAGTAGAGAGGGAAAGATGATGAAGAAATGAGGATGGTAATGAGGAGAGCAATCCGAAAAAAAAAAAAATGCAAGGAAGTGGAAGGGTTGGCTTCTGAGATAAGAACTGGGAAGACAGAGGACACGGACATGGTTGCAGACAGGTGTGTGAAAATGCACACTCAAGTTTCTAAGAAGTCCTGAAAAATGATGAACATGCTCACCTGTACCTAGGAGCCCCATAACTTACTTGAACACAAAAGCCTTTATTCACATAGAACTTCTCAGTCCTCACTTTGTAACCCCTGTAGAGCATTGTGGTTACAAACTGAAGACTGTAGCCAGACTGCCCAGATTCAGATCCTGGCCTCACCACAGGTTGGTCAAGTAGCCTTGAGCAAGTTACTCTGCTTCTCTGTGCCTCAGTTTGATCACAAGAGAGGAGAAGAACGGTTCTTACCACATAAAGTTGGAAAACCTCTGTGAGCTCATAAGAAGCACTTAGTGCCTGGCAGAGAGTAAGCACTCCACGAATCTTGTTACTAATTCAAAACAGAGCCACCTAGAACTGGTGCTAGGTATTGAGTCATTGAAGGGTTTTAGGAAGGATAAAGGCATGATCATTACTTTGGTTGCACCATCTGCCCATCCTCCACTCCCACATCTCTGTCTTCCGTTAGTGATCTACTGGTGTCTTCCCGGTTCCCTTCTTCCACAGTAACCACTTGAGGCTTGGCATGCATCATTCTTGATGAACCCTGCACCCCATCTGTCATTGCTCTTGGTGGAGAGTTGTGTTTTTAGGTTTCTAAGGCAGCTGGTAACAGATGGGGGCGCATATCACAGTCGTTCTAATTTTGTAGGAGTCACCTTCTTTTCCCTCTAACCTCTTCTGAGAAAACAAGAGCCTCAGAGAGTTTAGGCAACTTGCTGTAGGTGAGGCAACTAGTGTGAAGCCAGGATCCTACTTTAGGTATCTGGCATTAGAGCCCATGCTCACATTACTACAGTCATTTCAGAGGAGAGAAACAGCATCGATGATAGGTCCTAGTCATTGGCTTACCCAGCCCAACATTTATTGAACGCCTACCTCTCAGGCATTATTTAGGAGTCAAGACAGGTTCTTCCATCCAAGGGCTTCCAGAGTGAAGCTCTAGCAGAGAAGCACACAGGGTGCCCTCACAGAACGTTACAAGGCCCACAGTATGTTGCTGTCTTATATCCTGTGGAAAAAGAAGTGGGGAGTGAACAAATGAATAAATGAGTTAGCAAGCATGCACCGGGTATATGAAAGAAAAAGTCATGGCAGGGAA